ATACGAAATTATTTTAAATATGAAAACTATATCAAAATGTTCCTTATTCTAAATATTTATATAAAAGTATAAATTTTTTAAAATATATATATATATATATATATATATATATATATATATATATATATATATATATATATACACTACCTCCGTCCCGCTATGATTGTACCATTTTACCTTAACGATCCGTCCCACTAAAATTGTCTCATACCAAATTTGGTAAAGTTTGTGTAACTCTAAATCATGCTTACTTTACTCTTACTTTATCAATTCAATATCAACCACATAAACTACTTCTTATTAATTTGTGTGTCACTCCCGCTTGTCCATTATTAGCGGGACGGAGGGAGTAATAGTTAAAATTATTGTCCAAAGTTTGCGAAGATTGACCAAGAGAAACCAATATAACAAACATTTTCGAGACGGAGGGAATAATAAAATATACATAATACATACCTTTTCTAGACCAGTGTTAGCTCAGACAACCAGATCAGATTGGATGTGGTAATATATACAAGAACAGTAGCAAGGTGGAACTCCGAATTTCCTTTGTGCAGAAAAAATGATAAAATATAGATAGGAATAAAGATACGGATGTCTTTTAGGCTAATCGCAATCCAGCTCCGTCAATAAATCAAATTCTCCACCTTTTTATACGTATTGACTCAATCAATTCAGTTTTCACCGCAATCCAGTTCCGTCAATATATTCACCCAACAAAGTTTTTTAAATTAAAATATTACTTTATTATTATACATTAATGTTCTTCAATTTATTTTTTTACGAATAATCATGCTTTAAAAAGTCAAACATTCGGATGTAAAAATACATAAATTTGGTATTTGATTTTTTAAATGTTATTTCGGACTTATTTTAGAAAAAATAGGTGAAAGATGCAAAAAAATATTTATATATACAATATTGGCATCATTTGAAAGAATAAAAAATTATGAACTTTGGTATATTTTTTTATAAAAATTGAAATATAAAGAAAAGAGTTATTACACTTTCAAAAAAACTGAGATTTAAATTTAATGTAGGCCCACTACTTATTTTCATGCGATCAACCAGAAGTTGTTCTTTGTTTTCTTTCATTCGTACAGCACGCAGGACCAAAGGCTCGGTGGATAAGCCTACAGATATCCATTTTGGCACCCCAAAATACATGGGTTGTAGAGACTTTTGGGGTTAAAAGCTTAAAATTGGGTTGGAGGTAGTCTTATAACATGAAATATTAAAGAACTAACAATCGTGTGCTTGAATTTTTTAGTAATGAACAATTTGCAATAAGAGTAATATTTGTGCATAGATATTGGTACACACATAGATATTGGTCCTTTTGGAGAGCAGCGTGTAAAATAAGGAGCTATTTGAAGAACATCATTTGAATTATACTAGTAATTGTTATTCACTTTGCACTTAAATATTTACCTTAAAAAGGTTGTTTATTTTACACACTGCTCTCGGACCAACCAAAACAAAAGAGTGGCCTTGGAGATGCTCTCAGAAACTTCACATTTTCCTAATAATAACAAGCCTTACAAACAGGGTGAGCACCATTCATTAAGAAGTGTAAAAGTAGATAACCAAATACATGTTGCATAAATGAACTTAACACAACAAAATTTTGTACATAAAAAATGACATTATCTCGAGTGCACTACCAAGTTGCACTTCCAACAATGAATATTTATTTGAACTTCCAATCAAACAATACATATTGTACAACAACATAATTGCTTTCGCCTCTTTCCCCGATTTCTATCTTTTGACTCCATGAAAAGTGAGCAAGAAAGGCGCATGGTTAACCTGTAGTAGTGCTACGGTCATCAAGCCAGGAAATCATGTCATTGAAGACTTTGTGGATCATATCATCTGGCTCACCCTCAAGCAGGCAATGGTATGATTCCTCGTATAGGTTGAGCGTCTTGTCACCACTGCTTGCCTTATTATACAATGCTTCACTTACAGATGGATCAGTCAATACATCTTTCTTTCCATGCAAGATTAATAGCGGTAACGACACCTGCAATTCACACCAATCTCGTTATCTTTATAGAGAAGCGAACACTCAAGACGTGAAAATAACGTGTTCAATCTGAAAGATTGACAGGCGGATAAGGTTACAAACAGCAAAGCTAAGATTGCTGTAAAATAGTTATGCATGTTGATTATCCAGGCACCACCAGAAAAGCTAAAATGAAGCTCAATTTAATATAATAAGCAGCATACGAAATGCGTAGTAATAATCATGAAACAGAAAAGAGTTGAATAATAAATAGCTGCACATCAAAAGCCACACAATTGTTAAAGGATTGCACAGAGATGAATATATAATTTCTCTTATTATGTACTTAATGAATTTGACTCTATCTTTTAGTCTGATTTGGCATATGTGCAATGACTCAATTGAGCATCCAATTAAAGAGAAGTTCTTTCCATTATTAGTCCTCAAACTATTGTGGCAATTGAGAATTTACTCTTTCAGTTTTGTGTCATCCGGAAACAGTCCCTCTGTGATTGAGTACATGGGTAAGAGTGTAAGTTATAGCATATGTGATTAAAATATGGACTTCTTATTAAAATTTTATTATATATGTTTTTAATTGGTTCGAAATGATATGATCTTGTATGATCACCACACAAAAATTACGGGATTGACACGAATTGACCTGTGATTTCATGCCAAACTGCTTGTGCCAAATTGTTTTTGACACGAATTTAACATATCCCTATCACATCCTCTATGGATTTTGGTGAATCCCTACAAAAAAATCTACGTCAATTTCCTTACTTTTTATGTGGTGTGATAGATATTTTTCTACACGTTTTTAGTATTGTCTAATTCTTGTCAGACCCAATCTAATATGATATCGTTTGATTTGATTTGATTTAGGTATTATAGGATTTCAAAGTGATCAGTCTACTCTAGTAAAACAAAGACGATTGGGTTATCTTTTGTGCTAGAACTATAATTTCCTTTGTTACAACTCTCACATCATTCATAAAAAATGCATATTATTTCAAACTCATTGATTTATTTCAATATAGTTAGAAGTATATGAAACTTTACTGCACACTTTAAATTATAAAAAAGATTTAAAATAAAGATTATAGTTTCATTCATACAATATTAAACATTGATTGTACACCAATAGTTTGAAATCTTATTTTAGTTCAACTCAAGTCAAAAATCTGAAATACACTATTCGTATTACACAATTTTAACTCGAATAAGAAAAAGGAACACTCAAATATATCATTTTCTTTCTCCGCGATTATTCTTATTTCTCATCCACGCGACCACACAATGCCTCTTTCTTTACCAAACACACATATTCCACATTCTTGCGTCACATAAATAAACCACCATCCATCTCTAAACGCGCACCGATCAACTAAACATTTCCGATTAATATAGCCCTTCCTTCCTGTGTTTCACTAATCGACTTATATTTCGTAATGAGGTAGAGTAAAGAGTACACTATAATGCATTTGATCTTTTTAAGTACATAAGTTCGAGTTTTTAATGTTAATTGAGTACACCCGTTAGATTAACACGTTAATACGACTGAGTTGGCTAACAGAATGCTAATAGGTCGACTTTTTGAAGGTCGACGCTAGCCCCCGCTCGCTTGATCGACTTCCCCTTGGTCGAAGTCAGTCCCCTGCAGGTCGACTTCTCCTTGTTCGATGCACCCTTGCTGGCCGATGCCCCCCGCTGGTCGACTTCCGAAGGTCGATTTTCCTTTTTTGTCGACTTCGTGAAGGTCGGTCCATTACCCCTTCTTACTCGACATTCGTTAGCCAACTCAACTGTATTAACATGTTAATCCAATAAATGTACTCAATTAATACTAAAATCCCGAATTTGTATACTTAAAAAGATCAAATGCAATATAATGTACTCTTTACTCCACCTCGTACAAGTTGATGTACTCAATTGACCATTTCCTCATTTCGTAATCTTGATTTTTTTACGGATATGACTCTTTATCAGTTCATGATCTCCCCCCAAACTCCGAAGTAGAAAAAGGTTCTAGAACTCACTTCCACCGACAGTCTTTAGAAACAGTAGATATGGGGATGCAGCCCCAAAAATGATTAATAAAATATTAGGCCCAATTAGGGGTGGGATTTTGGAACCGGGAACCGTTAAAATGGTTGGAACCGAACTATTATAACCCGGTTCGGTTCCTACAAATGAGGTATTAGTTGTTAACGGTTCGGTTCCTAGTTGTTGTTAACGGTTTGGTTCCCGGTTCCTATAAAAAATATATGCACGGAACCGTTAAGGAACCGATATTAAAAAAAATAGTAGCAGTATTCGTAGTAATACTAATATAACAAAAATAAACACAACAACAACAATAATAATAATAAATGAATGATATTTAGCCAATAATTCTAATTTAATTTAATCTATGAAAACAAAAATAATAAATATTTGCACATGAGGTTGAATACATTATGCTCATTTTTACAAATCAAGTTTTGTTCCATCAATAGGAGTACAATGTAGTGATGCTTTTATATTTGTACATGCAAACTCAATGTATTTCTAGGTTTTGAGAGGCAAAAAGTGTACTCCTATCCTTGCCACTATAATGATGAGCAACCTTCATTTTAACGATATAACCAACGATTTTTATATTTTATGTATTAAATGAAAATTAAAATCTTCTTTTTATTCTATTAAGTGTTCACTTAAGCCTGAGCTTTGATGTTTGGAACGATTAGAACTCTAAATAAATGTTTATGACTTGTTGACTTTTTGACATTTTCATGTGATAGAAGCTAAATTATGTGTAAATTCTTACACGAAAAAAATTATTCTAGGAACCGATAAAAGCAAGAACCTAACCGTTTAGTATTGGTTCGGTTCCATATCGGTTCTTGATTTTTTATATAGGAACTGAACCGATTTCATTTGTTAAAATTTAAATAACGGTTCAACTATTTTTGAGTAAGAATCAAAACGGTACCAGACCTAGGCTCAATATTCTTGTCCAACAAACCAAAGTCCAATTTTAATTAAAGGCTCGAGGAAGCCGAGCAAGCATCTCTAGATTCGGGATCCATCGACATCTATCATCCACAAACGGTGCTCCCCCAAGTCGCCGATTCTCTTCGCGGTTTCATCCTCCGTCAGACGCCAATACGCAACACATCAGCAGCACCGCAGCACGCCTCTTCAGTCGTCAACTACTCACATCACTCCCGTCGCTCAGTCGCCTGCTCTCAGCCACTCAACCTTCAGCGGCTCAGTCAATCGGCGCTTCCCTCAATTTTCACATCCAACCATTCATAGTCCCGGTATTTCTTCAGTCCTCTTTTATTGATTAGCTCAATAATAACTTAGTTCATTGTTTTTTTTATAAATATTTAGTTAAATACTTAAATTAGTAATATCTTTGTATGTCGAAACCTAAGAAAACCGAGAAACACATTTTTATTTTCCCACACGCGTCAACAGAACGACAGAACCAATCAGAAAAAATATAAGATAACAAATCTTTACCTAAGATCTCAAAATGGCAGAAATTTACGAATGTTTTTATTTTCAGAAAACTTGCCCTCTGCCGGTCAAAAATCACTCGAAAAATCGGTTAGCCTAAAAGTGGGGTTTTTGTATATTTGTTTTTTGAGAGGTTTTTATTTTGGTTAGAAAATAATTGGACTCATTATAACTTTATATCATTATTATTTAATTGTTGTACCCAACAAATCTTTATATCATATTTCTATATTTCTTTGATTCGTATTTTGTTAAGGAACCCAATTTATGTGGAATTTGTGTACATAATCTAAGCTTTATGTACCCTTCAATTTATGTACCCAGTAATATGAAACTTAAGTACCAGCAGTATGGTTGAAGGCAAATATATGGAAGTAGTCAAATTTGATCACAAAATGATACTGAAAAAAGTATAAAATTCTCCTAGTTTCTCTACTACGTATTTTGGCTTATTACAAATTTAATCCGTAATATAAGTTCTACAATTTTTATATAAGAAAACCAAGTTATTAATTTAAGATTAGTTTTTTTAATTACAATTTTTTGAAGTAATTGTTTTTAATGTCCAATTGACCAAAGCACATTTTTCAGATTCATTAAGAAACTAACCTCAATATACTCTCAATTGGCTTAAATCTGTTTAAATTTTGAACAGAATGTATAAAAGAAAATACTAAAGAAATCATTCATTATGTAAAGCTTAAATGAATGTAGAGATGATTATTCATCACTCATCAGGAACATCTTTAAAACCAACGACATATGTGAGGCTTATAGAGTTATATTGGTCATCTTTAGCTTTTAGATAATGCTTCTTATGAAATTCAAAAAGTCAAGGTTTATTATGTAGCCTTTAATTGAAATGCATCCACAGTATTTATTCATCGAAAGCTACATTGGAAGAGTTTCTAATTGAAGAATTCCACATTGAGAACATGTTAGGAGTCTAGAAGAATACTTCAAAATGGCCTCCAAGCCTCACTCCATATGTAATTGCATTAATTCTTGAACCTTGAGAAGACAATTAATTAGTTTAAATTGTTTACACTCTGTCTGCATGTACTTCGAGAAGCACAACCTAGGGGAGAAAAATACCATAGTATATACTCCGTATAACAAAGAATACAAAAATTAATTACTAATGCTATGGAAAAAGATGTACACATCTCGGTGAATCCTAAAGGCTAATGCAATTAAATGCTTCGAGTAGCTCAAGACACAATATTTAAATCTAGCAGTCTTTTTATTCATCCAAGACCTATATAAATGGAAAGACATCATTGCAACCGAACATTTTCTCTTTCTTCCTTTATGTCACTCGGTATTTTATATGTAGGTGCATGCATAGTATTAAAGAGTTCTAGAACAATTGAAATACAATAATCCTTAATTAAGTGATTAATTGTTTGGCGTGAAAACTGCTGCCATGCAACGGTGCAACTTCCTTGAAAAGGCGACCAATTTCCATTTTTGTTCAAATTTTAGTTTTTTCCTCTTCTTCTCATCTCTCTTTTGATCCCTCTTTGCACATCCTTCAAGTCATGGAGGCCGACGGTTTTTCAACGACAATAGCGGAGGCCACGCAACTGGTGAGGCTTCGTTGCTCAGTTAAGAACTACGATTGGGGACGCATCGAACGGGAATCCTGTGTGGCGCGGCTCTACTCTCGCAACACTGGGGAGGAGGTCCGGGAGGACATTCCCTATGCTGAGTTGTGGATGGGGACCCACGACTCCGGCCCTGCTTACGTGGTTGCTTCCTCTGACAATGGGCTTACCAATGGCGGTGTGAAAGAGGAGAAGTTCTCGCTGACTTTGAAGGACTGGATTCAACGGAACCCTACTCTTGTCGGCGAGAAGGTGGTTCAGACTTGGGGTCCTGATCTACCGTTTCTTTTCAAGGTTCGTCCTCGCCGCCTTAATTATTTTCAATTTAATTAAATGCAGGACCGTTTTCGATGTTTTTGGTGGTTTCAGTACTTCTAATTAAATACTAGTATCTAATTTATTTAAAGTTATGTTTTACAAGTATTAAATTGAACAGTATCTCGTAATTAATTAATTAATTATACATTTAATAATATGTTCGGTTTAAACTTCAATTTTTCTTAAAGTTCAGCACTTCATTGAGATCTGTGCACTTTTTGGAACCAGAGCTCTGCTATTTCTATGATTGCATTAATTTATTGGCATTATTTGGGTTTCAGGTGCTTTCTGTTGCAAAAGCTTTGTCGATTCAGGCTCATCCTGATAAAGATTTGGCTGCTCGATTGCACAAGGAGCAGCCGGAGGTGTATAAGGATGCTAATCACAAGCCCGAGATGGCTTTAGCACTTACAGAATTTGAAGCTTTATGCGGGTTCGTTAGCTTTGAGGTACTTTGAATTGTCTTCGTTTGTGAGATGTTCTTCCTCTTCACTTTTTAGGCCTTGTTTGGCAAATGGCTGTTAGCGGTTGCTGTCAGCTAGTTGTGTCAGCTGTTTTCTAACAGCTGGTTGTGTTAGCTGTTTTGACCGACTGATTATGTTAGCTTACTATAAATAATTGTTTTGTAAAATTAGCTATTTCAAAATGGCTGATAGAGTGTAAATCTAAAAGAATGAAAGAAGACAATCTAAAAAGTTGCCCCCTTGCTTTTTCTACCGGCCATTTTTTCAGCTTTTCGGACTCAACAGGCCAATCTAAAAAGCTATTTACCAAACATAAATATTGAGTGCTTTGACTAATGAAACAACTAAATTTGGTCAAACAAGCTAATAGTTGGCTGATAAGCTGTTTGCCAAACATACCCTTACTGGTATATATGATTTGAATTAGGAATCAACTTTAAGCTTCTTTACTAGGATGATCTTCATTCTCTATTCCTTTGCTTGTTGCATAGTAAATTTGAATTGCATTTTCAATAGCTTTAATTGCTGTTGGATGAGACCTGATAATGTCATTGCAGTAAAATGTACTGTATTTTATATTAGTTAGCTAAACAGAGGAAATTAAGATATTACTTAATCTGTCCCTATATGCCTATATAACAATCATGCTTCCATTTTGGGTGTGCATATTGTCTTTTTTCCTACTTGTTAGAGTAAAATCTTCGAGCCTGTTTGGGATGATTTATGAAACTGACAGAAGTTTTTCCGTGATCTCGAGAGCTCTATGTTGTGACAAAATCTTTTTCCGAGATCACGAGAGTGATATGTTGGACAAAAGATTTTTCCGAGATCTGGAGAACGATATGCTGAGGCAAAACTTTTTCCGAGATTTCGCGAGCATTATGCTGAAACAGAAGTGTTGTCCAAAATTTCGAAAGCAATATATTGTGGTTTTTATTTAATAAAAATAATATACTAAAATGGGAAGACGTGTCTTATACGCTGTTTTCCCTATCTTCAGAGTGATATGTTCGACAAAAACTTTTTCCGAGATTTCGCAAGCATTATGCTGCAACGAACAGTTTTTATTTAATTAAAATAGTATACTAAAGTGGGAAAAAGTTTCATTTATGCTGTTTTCCGAGATCTCGAGAGTGATATGTTCGACATAAGCTTTTTCCGAGATCTCGAGATTGATATGTTGTGTCAAAGCTTTTTCCGAGATTTCGCGCGCATTATGCTGCAACGAACGATTTTTATTTAAGAAAAATAGTATGCTGAAGTGGGAAAAAGATTCATTTATGCTGTTTTCCGAGATCTCGAGAGTGATATGTTAGACAAAAGCTTTTTCCGAGATATCGAGAACGATATGTTGCAACAAAGCTTTTTCCGAGATTTCACGAGCATTATGCTGCAACAAAAGCGTTGTCCAAACTTCTGAAAGCAAAATATTGTGGTTTTTATATAAAAAAATAATATACTAAAATGGGAAAAAGTGTCCTTTACTCTGTTAGCAATTTTCTCAACAACACAAAGACACTGAATTCGTGCTCTAATATAGTAGTCATACTTGAATGTTTTTTTAAGTCATCCCAAACGGGTACTTAATTTGCTTCATTTCCATCCTCCAATATCCCCAACTTGTACAAGTAAATACTCAGAGCCAAGTATGAGGAGGGCAAACTTGGAAATGAAAAAAAAGAACTAGTTAAAAATTAGTGCAAGTAAGGTGTTACAGGAGGTAAACTCAGATATGCACTAAGCATGGATCCATATGTGGGAAACTGTGTTATCTTCATGCTTTTTTTTTCTGAAAAGGAATAGATTCCCACCTTCCATAGTAAATATTAATATGATTCATATGCATATGTAGATAATTCTATGAAAAATCTACCTTGATAAAAAGAACAAGCTTAAAAGTGAATGCTTGGATGAATTTGGTAATTCATAGGGATTCCTACTTTTGTGAAATTATAAAAGGATACAAGGGTGATTTTAAGGGTTCATTTGGAACTATGGAATTGCTAGGGAAAGAGAACAAGAAAAAGATTGTAAGAGAGTTGAAGGGAAAAATGATGTGAAGAAAAATTGAACATTCTTTTATATTTTTTCAACCTTATTTTATATCTCTATCGCCCTTATATGAATAAGATTAGGAAATCTGTAACATATGTGATAACTGTAAAAACAGCTGTCATGTTTCAGGTTCCTTTGCAGCTTCTATGGTAAAATAAACCTAAGAAAATAACTCTCTTACCACCCGTTTTCTGTTTCTTTACTTTTTTTTTTTAACCAAACACAATTTGAAAGTACTTTGATTTGTTCTTTCCAGGAGCTCAAACTTGTAGTCCAAACTGTACCGGAGATTGGGGAAATTGTTGGGAGTGGGCATGTAGAGGAGGTGCTACATGAAAGTGCACACGAAGTGGGTGAGAGAGCAAAACCAATTCTTCAGTCGTTATTTACAACTCTTATGTCAGCTAGCAGTGATGTGATTTCGCAAGCTCTAACCAAACTCATAAGCCGGTTGAATGTTAAAAATGAGGTAACATCAACTCTGCCCTTCATTTTTACACATGTATATTTATTATTTTTTATGATTTAAACAGGACGAGATAATTCTTTTGTATCATCATTTATGTTGATGATGCATTTCTAGGGACTCGGCTTCTTTTTAATTATGCATTCTTTTAAAATCTCTTGGGCTATATACTTAAGCTTGTAAATCGGTTTGGTTTGGTAATCTTTTTCCCAAACTGTGTTAATCTGAACCAAATCAAAACCTATTAAAACCAAACCAAATAAAAAAACACAAAAGCCCTTACACAAAACCCATCAACTGATTCATATGCTGTTATATTACAGGAAAGAGAGTTAACTGAAAAAGAACAGCTAATCTTGAGACTTGAAAAGCAATATCCAAGTGATGTTGGAGTTATAACAGCGTTCTTGTTTAATCATGTGAAACTTAGTCCTGGTGAAGCTTTGTATTTGGGGGCAAATGAACCTCATGCATACCTGTTTGGTGAGTGCATTGAATGTATGGCAACCTCGGACAACGTTGTGCGTGCTGGCCTCACACCAAAGGACCGTGATGTCAAGACCCTTTGTTCCATGCTCACATACAATCAGGTAAAGATAGTAATTCAAAATTGATCCCTCACTGTTTGCATAAAAAACTCGCTGAACTGAACTCTTCAACTGCCTCGCTTAGCTCCTAATATAATTGAATGATCAGCGTTAATTAAATAAAGGTCTTGATTGGTTGTTGACACGTAGTAGTGTATAATAAAGTATAAAAGTTTCATAAAGGTTAACCTCACGTAAGAAAGAGTAGTTCATGTCCTTTAATGTAAGTCAGTATCTTTGAATTTTGCTGATGTAGAAAGACATTAACTTGTTTACAAAATTGAGGATCATGGGAGCAGATCAATTGTGAACATCATTTGCACCTTTTGAATTTTAATTGGATCGTTCATTTGACCTGGATGCTTCTCATACAATATTAAGACTTCTCTATCATCCTGATTATTAAGATCTGGATATAATTACACTTCCAGCATTTAAAATGCTTAGGTACATTCAGAAATTCGCAACAAGCAACACATTGCAAGTCCACAAAATTCAGCTCAAATCATATCAAACATTTGAATTCATGATATGCTTTGTGCTGTTCTTTAGACGCTGCTTCTCAAGAGCTTTCCACCCATTGTAGATTCTACAATATGTACCTTTAAAGCTATCTAATCCTCTATCTGGTCTGGGTTTTCCTGGTGAAGGTGTTCCCTAAAATCCTTAAAGGAGATGCTTTGAGTCATTATACAAAGAGATACAGCCCTCCCTTTGATGAGTTTGAGGTAGACCACTGCATTCTCCCTCGACTAGTAACAACAGTTTTCCCAGCAGCTCCCGGCCCGTTTATTTTTCTGGTTTTCACTGGAGAAGGAACAATGACCACAAGGTCATCCAACGAGGCAGTCGCCGAAGGAGATGTTCTGTTTGCGCCTGCAAACACTAATGTCACCGTCTCAACCGCCACAACTGGTCTAAGTGTGTTTAGAGCTGGAGTGAAGTCATCTTTCTAAATACAGGAATGATAAAAGTCATGTGAAAAATAGTCCTTGTTTATACATGTTATGAGTGTGAGGGGTTGCTTGTAATATATTTATGCAATGATGAGGAATAAGTGAATAACATACATACCCCACTTTTGTACAGTGTCATTATAGTGATGTAATATACAAAAAAAAGGATGACACCCCATCCCTGAGGGCCCCCAACCCTGACCAGATAGTACGTTAGGAGGATGTAAATTGGATTATAATCCCAATCTGACAGATAGAGAGTGAAGCTATGTCCCCGGTACTTGCAGAGGCTCTATGCATATTTTAGCATAGTGACCCCTCATCTTGCCGGGTTTCGAAATCGGGACCTAACCCTTGTGTCACTCCCTCGCTACAAGTTGCGCTACGTCCACCTGTAGTGATGTGGTAATATACAAAAACAATAGCAAGGTAGAACTCTGAATTTCCTTTGTGCAGAAAAAATGAAAAAAAGATAGATTGGAGTATGATACGGATGTCTTTCCAAGGCGGAAGCATTCCATATCATAGGTGAGATTGCTAGAAGAAATATTAAAGAACTCAAATTCGTGTGCTTGAACTTTTTAGTAAAAAACAATTTACAATAACAGTAATATGTGTGACATGTGCTTATACACTATGTATGTGTCTATATGTCTGTGCGTGTGTATATGGGAGGTAAAAATCTATTTAAAGAATAACGTTTGAATTATAGGAGTAATTGTTATTCACTTTGCACTTGATAAATTTACCTTAAAAGTTCTTTAGTTTACACTAGGGATGGAGTCCGGCCCTGACCGAGCTATTTTTGGGTTTGTTGAGACCCGGAACCGGCCCGGGTAGCTATCGGGTCCGGTTTGGGCTCAGGCTGGGTTGGGCCAGTTTCGGGACGGGTACCTTACTTTTTAATTTTTTTTGGTTTTCTAATTACTTTCTACCCAAAACCCTAAACCCGTCCAAAACACCCAGCCCAATCCGTTTACCTCCCAACCCTTACAAACAGGGTGATCAACTGACCATCATCCATCAAGAAGCGTCAAAGTAGACAACCAAATACATGTTGCATAAATTAACCTAACATAACAATTTTTTATATGAAAAATGACATTATCTCGTGTGCGCTACCAAAGTTCACTTCCACCTATGAATATTTATTTGAACTTCCAATCAAACAATACATATTGTACAACAAAAAATTTGTCTTCGCTTCTTTCCTCGATTTTGTCTTTCCACTACTGGAAAAGTGAGCAAGAAAGGTGCATGGTTAACCTGTAGTAGTGCTACGGTCACCAAGCCAAGAAATCATGTCATTGAAGACTTTGTGGATCATATCATCTGGCTCACCCTCAAGCAGGCAATGGTATGATTCCTCGTATAGGTTGAACGTCTTGTCACCACTGCTTGCCTTCTCATACAATGCTTCACTTACTGATGGATCAGTCAACACATCTTTCTTTCCATGCAAGATTAACAGCGGTAACGACACCTGCAAATCACATCAATCTCATTATCTTTATCGAGAAGTGATATTTCTGTCACTAAAACGAAACACTCAAGACACGAAAAAAGTGTGTTCATTCTGAAAGATTGGACAGGCGGATTAGGTTATAAGCAGCAAAGCTCAGATTCCTGTAAAATAATTATGCATGTTGATTATCCAGGCACTGCCAGAAAAGTTAAAATGAAGCTCAACTTAATATAATCAGCAGCATATCATATTGAACAATCATCATGAAACAGAAAAGAGTTGAATAATAAATAGCTCTACACCAAAAGCAACACAATCTGTACGGACAAAAAACACATCAAGTCCTGGTTAATATAGGCAGCTGCCCTTTATCCTACATAGCCAGGCTTGGGCATCGGAAGCAAACTGAAGTATAGATATGAATTGTTAAAGGATTGCACATAGATGGATATATAGTGTCTCTAACTATGTACTTAATGCATTTGATTCCATCTTTTAGTCTGATTGGGCACATGTGGAATGACTCGATCGAGTATCCAATTAAAGAGAAGTTTTTTCCATTATTAGTCCTCTACCTATTGAGGCAATGAAGCTTTTAGTCCTCAAACGACTAACTATAATGACACACTCATGGTTTTGGTGTCTATTTTTGAGTTTTTCTAATCCTAGTCCTCAAACTTTTGTGACAGTGAAGCTTGGTACTCATCTTTTTTAATTTACAACAGACTAAAAGTGACATTAATTACAATACCTTCAGGATCAGTAGTGTCATAAAGGTAGAAAAATTAGAAGACGGTTATCAAATGTGTGATTGCCAGCTGCCACAATAGTTAGAGGACTGAAGAAAGTGGGAAAAGCTATTAGAAAAAATACAGAGAAAGTTAACACACACCTTTTCTAGTGATTCCTCTATCTCTTTGGTAGTCTTCAGTAATTCCAGGGCCGTCCTCAAACGTGGTTTATGCCTATAAGCAGTGATATTATATGCTGCCTGCAATTTTAAACAGGTAAATGTAAGCATCTAGTTAACGGTTCACTGTAAATATATAACTATGTCATTTTCATGTTCTTCAATATGAAGTAGCATCTAATGGAAGCCAATCCTGCACCCCATATACAGGTTCAGACATTTGTTCCAGACCTGCCTTTTCTAATTTTGGGCTAACTTGGTAAGAGTAATTTGCATAAATTTGTTTAATATGCTGGATTTTCTACAAGGAAAATGTTTGATAACATCTATACAAGTGAAAAGGTACTTATTCTGATTCTTTTACTGACACACAGAATAACCCAGAACTGGATGCCAAACAAATCTTTAATTCTGAGTATTACTTAAGAAAGAGTCTTAAGCAAATCAGAGACTGATTGCTTCTTGGAGGAAATGGAGGCACACATACCTGTTGCCTTTTACTTGCTTCCCTAAATGCCAAATCACCCAAATTATTTAGAGGGACAAGCTTATGCTTTGGTAGAAATTTTGCTACACCAATCAAAACTTGCGTTAACAACCATGGTGGAACCAAGTTCTTGTCGATCTATTGGACGTAAGAGACATTAGCATATTAATTAATAATAACTATTATTATTACTATCATAATCATAAAACATCGACCGAGGTCATGATTGCGTACTTTGCACATAGGTGCCGAAAGAATAGCACCGTTCCATGAATCGGGTTGCTTCAGGTGCACCTTCAGAGCTACTGCTCCACCCATTGATTCTCCATAAAGGAAGCTGGGCAGACTACGTAGTTTGGGGTTCTCTGTTATAAAAATGTATTAATCCATATGATACGTTTGCATTCCTACTACAAAAGACCAAAAGTTCTGAATCAAAGAAATAGGTTTAGAACTTTGATTATACCTTTAACTTTCGAGTAATGCTCAATGACATCATCAACTAGGTTGTCAAAACTTGGTATGTAGCCATGTAGACCTTCAGAAAGACCAAATCCAGGATAGTCCATGGCAAACACACCATATCCAACGCTCGCCAACTTCCTGGCAACCCCTACATTGTATGAAAACAATCATCTTTCAAATTCCATGAAAACCGAATGATAGTAACAGTTCTACCTCTTCCAGAATGTACAAATTCTGTAGAAGTTGTTTTATTAATTGAACATTTTTAAAGAAAGTAGAAAAGAGTATATATGACATGAATCCATACAGACTGGGGAAAGAAAAATACTATGATTAGGTAAGTAAATGGTTATTAAATATGTAATTTTTATTAATACTTGCCTTCAAAGAAAAATGCGCAAGTATCTCCATAACCGTGACAAAAGCAAATCACTGCTTTGGGGGAAATTGTCTCTGGGAGCCAACTTTTGCAGAAAACCTCTAATCCTCTAGAGTTGACCTCATAAGACTTCCATACGATAACATATAATAATCAGCTTTGTATCGCGCATTAGAAACAATACAAATTATTATTCAAAAGAACAGTTAAAATGGGGACTCTAGTTATAGCTCTGTGAAAAATAAGGAAAATGTAAAACAGATGAAGTCCAAAACAATTTAGCAGTCCCTCCAAAGGGGGAAGGGTGCTTACCTCTTCCATCTTTAATCCATCAGAAGGTGTCTGCAGAAACAAAAAGTAAAACCAATTGAGCATGCTAAAGTGCTATATCACGTCATTGGAAGCAAACTTGAATCAAAATATAAATTCTTTATCTTTCTAAGTACATTATTTGTGAAGCTAAGGATGTTTTCAATTGGACTGAAATTTTGCTGGTCTGGTCTGGTTTGAGACTGAAAACAGTCCAAGTAAAAACATCCTAAAGCATCATTTGAATTCATAAATGATTAGATGAACTAGTAGGGATCAATAGTTTAAAACGGCCAAAGAAAATAAGCTAAGCTTGCAGCCCCAACTCCCAAGTGACCAATAATGAATCAGTGAGTTGAAAATCACGTTTTGATATTGAAATCATAAGTGGCGCATAAGGCACATTTTCACTTGAGTTGAAAATCAGGTTTCTACCCTCATTCATAGATAGCATTTTCGTTAAGTTGTCAAGAGATTTTCTGTTTTCCAACATTTCAAAAGGCTCAGGCAATGAGGTCACACCAATAACAATTTCAGCAAGTTCAACCACACCAGTCGAATTGGAGCTTACAAAACAGGCTCTTAAACATAACCATGTTAAAGCCATTGAAATCAAATTTATCAAGCCAATTAATTTTTTTAATCAATTTACATAAGAAGTTCGGGCAAAAAATGACACAGCTTCCCCTTCCGGCCAGTCCAGGATGTAGCCTTCTTATCGTAACGAGACTGAAAACAGTCATTATCGATTATCTATATCATAGTTTTTGCCAGAAAACCACGGACAAGTGTTTTTGTTTACAACAGAAAACATCTCATAATTCTGCAACAAATTATGGATCAAAACATATATGCCTTATATGAAACTTGTGGCAAATCCACTGACACCTAGACAGATTCCAACTAAAAGTCTAAAACAAACAATCGATCAGGTATAGCTTTAAAAATCCGATCTTTGACTGAGAAACATAAATTTAAACATTTAGCTCCAAAATCAAATGAAGAATAGAAGGAAAACGAGTTTCATTCATTATAATAAATACTTTTTTGATGCCCAAAGGTTTGTCAAATTTATTTTTTTGATGCCCAAAAGATTTGTCATCACAAATTTTTAGTCCAAATATATGGCTAAAATTAATTCTGTCGGCATAATTTTACTTTATGAATCCAGTTGAAACTAACGGCCAACCTTTTTGGGAGGGAGTAATACCTTAAACAAAACATGATCGACTGAGAGCTGAATATGCTTAAAAGCTTCGCGCGCACGACGTCTGGCATCGACGAAGTCCATATCCGCATCCACAAGCTTCTGCACCTCTTCGCTCACGCCTGGGAACCGATGAGGCTTCCCCATAACCACTTTCTAAGCTCTAACTCCTTAATTGCGCAAATGACCACCCTCCTTGAAATCTTTAACTCTTTCCTGTGATTTTTCTGGTTTTAATTTTAATCCGTCATATATACATAAACCTCTGAAGTCTGAACATTAAATAATCGAATCCTGTTTAGTATTGTACTCCGTACCTGTTATTCCATTTCCTGGAAGGTCAGAGTTCTAGAAAGACGGAGACCATTCAAAGCGGAAGGAAGCAAACGAAGTGGAAAAAACAAAAACAATTACGATTTGGGTCGAACGTGAATGTGAAGTGTAAGCCGAATTGAAGTCTATTCTATTTGCAGTTGGTATAAGGCGGGAGCAGTCCACTGTGACATGCTGCTCCCACCCTCAAAAAATGGGTTGATGTGTGAATAGTAATTTTTATTTTATTTCTATCAGAGAAAAGGGTCAAATAAAGCCTTTTACTATTATGAAATAGTCACATAAGGCCATGTACTCAATAAAGTGTCATATAAGTACATATACTTCTAAAAAGCAATCAAATGAGTCCTAATGACCTATTTAACCCCTCTTAATCCCGATTTCAACGTACTTCTAACCATCTTTTTAGAATACATTATACGGCATATGTTGAATATTTAACTAAGATTGGTTGAAATACAAGTTAAAAAATTGAAATGTAAGCTAAAATCGGGATTAGGAGGTGTTAAATAAGTCGTTAGGACTCATTTGATTGCTTTATACAAGTAGAGGTACGTATATGACACTTTATTGAGTATATGGCCTTATGTGACTATTTCGTAATAGTAGAAGACCTTATTTGACCCTTTTCTCATTTCTATCATCTCGTGTAACTCGCATGTAAAAAAATGTAACTCACGCTGATAAGTAATGTAACTGTAGGTATGTCGAAATGTAACTTGTCTAGTACGGATTATAAGAAATAAAATATTGATTTCAATGGAAACAAGGAATCCAATTGCTCAATTATTTTACGTAAATAGTGAATATGTTTTGTTTTTAATATTAAGCCATATTTTTTTTTGATTTTCTTTTGCCAAAAAATCATTTTTTCCGCCATAAAACTCATTTTGTTTTTGCGAAAAAGTGATTTTTTTTTGTTTCAATAGCAGGGTTTACTTAAATAATGAATATATTTTGGTTTTCATATTAAGGCCATAAATTAAAAAAAACAATTTTTTTTTGCCAAAAAATAGTTTTTTGCAAAACAATGATTTTTTTTGTTTCAATAGTTAGTTGAGCTTTATCTTGTAATGAAATTCATGTTATGGAAAATGTAACTCGCATTGATGAAAAATCAAACGTAGATGTATGCAAAATGTAACTTGTTGAGGCAAACCCAAATGTAACAAATGCATAGAAAGATGTACCTCACGCATAGAAAGATGTAACCCACGCATAAGAAGATGTAACTACATTTACTATCAAATGTAAACAATGAAAACAAAGAGTCTAATTTATAATATACTTTACGTAAATAGTGAATATGCTTTGTTTTTAATATTTAAGGCCATAAAAAATTGTTATCCAAAAAACTTATTTTTTTCAAAAAAAATATTTTTTTGCCAAAAAATCATTTTTTTATGCAGACAAATGATATTTTGTTTTAAGAGTAGAAGTTTATTTTGTGATGTAACTCGTATTATGGAAAATGTAACTCACATTGATGGAAAATCTAACTTAGGTGTATGCAAAATGTAACCTATTGATGCAAGTTTAAATGTAATTCACGTATAGAAATATGTAACTCATTCATAAAACATTGCAACTCACCCACTAGAAGATGTAAGTTCATATATTATCAAATGTAATTCCAGAAATTGTCTATAAACACAAATCACCCATGTGGAAATATAAATCACACAAGTGTATGAAATATAAAGTTATTTATTTTGAAGAAAAAATAATTTAATTTTTTATTGTAATTTCAGTTGAAGCAAAAAAAGAAAAAGAAAAAAGTGTATGAATAAGAACTAAGAGACTAAGAGAGAAAGAAAACATAATTAATTTATTTTGAAAGAATGAAAATTTGATCACAAAATTGTAATATACACATCAGTGTTCCTAAATTAAAAATATTATTTGGAAACATGATAACTTTTGATAATGAACAAAGTTAAAAGTAAACAAAGAAAAAGAAAGAAAAAAAAGAAATGATGTTGGAAGAATGAAATGTGCAACTAAAGATCAGAGAGAACATGAAGGATTTTGGTAAAGAAAATTAAAAGTAAACAACGAAGAATGAAAAAAGAAACGAGGCTGGGAATGAAGTGCGCTGCATGTCGGTTTATATTATGAAAAAAGGTGCCGTATTTGGGATCAGTATTCCATGCGCATGGTATACCGATCTCAAGTATGTATTTTTTTTTCTTTTTCTTTGTTTCCTTTCTTTTTTCCTTTCCTTTTCCTGCTCACTGGTTCGTGAGTCGTGACTTCTCTGTTCTTCCTCCTCCCTTGCACCACTAACTCCAATCACAATTCACAAAAGTGCAGGGGTTTAATGCATCGAAACCCTTCGTGAAATATAAATTCGGCGCATTAGCCCATTGTGATTTAAAAAATGTATCAAACCCCCATGTGTTATAATTATTCATGCACAAAACCCCCTCAGAGGAAAATTTACAGTTTTTGGAATTACTTTTCTTAATAATATGATTGAATATGCTAGTAACTTTGTCAAAATTTCTAAATTATACAAAAAACCTAATTATTTCACATTTTTTGGCAATTAAATTTGTTCATAGAAGGGGTTTTGCGCATGAATAACCATAACATAGGGGGGTTTGACGCATTTTTTAAATCACAAGGGGCTAATGCGCCGATTTCATATTTCACGAGGGTTTTGGTGCATTAAACCTAAAAGTGCAGATCCAGATCCCACCATTTTGACGGGCCAACGATGCTTGGTTTCGCCACCAAACGTCGCTCGATTCAGGGGCAGAGTGTTGGGTTTTAATCGGTCATGTGGGACACGTATGCATGGCCGGAGTTTTAAATTTGTTTTAAGTTTTAATTAATTTAATTAGTTAAAATTGATATTAGTGTAGTAGTGGCAATTTCATGTTCTTAGTAGGAAGTTAAGAAGTGGAGTAGTGGACTCGCTTAGTTAACTACCTAGTGGTCTCCTATTTATACTTGCATTTATTCTTTTCATTAGTTCCAATCAATGAAATAGAGTTGTTGCTTCTTTTATATATACCATGTAATAAAACAATCATTTGTCTTTTGCACATAAACGAACTCTTCCTTTGAATGCCATAGTGGCATTATTTCTTCTATCTTCATTTTTTTTAGTTTAGTTAAAATCCTAAACAATTTGATAACATTTGGTATCAGAGCCCAAAGATCCGTTTGAATAATTTTTTGAGCCGTTCTTGATCGTTGGTTGAAGCATCTCAACGGCAGCCCCGATTTCACTTGATCGGGCTTATTCTAGCGTTGTTGAGAGTATAACCGGGTGCGGAATAAGCGGACAGAATGACTTCATAGCAGGTTGCTGTGATTCGGTTCGCTTTGCGGGTGACGGAAAACGTTAACAGTGGTTGTGACCGTGTTTTCTTGACCGGTAGAAATTTCTCTCGGAACAAGCTTGATCAACACAATTTGGGGCTATCCAAACGAAGAATAGAATGGCGTTGGTAACAAGAGAAGGAGGTTCGATGACGTTTCAAGTTCCGGCCTTGACCTAGATGAATTATCCGGTGTGGGCTGTCAAGGTGAGGACGATCATGGATGCATAAAACTTATGGGAGACGGTCGAACCAAGGGTGCAAGGTGAACAAATGGATCCAAGGAAGTCAAAGCAAGCTCTTGCTTTCTTGTTTCAAGCGATACATGTGTTGCAAATGGCGAGTTACAGCGATCTAAAGCAAGTACGAGATGGCCTAACAACGCGTTTTTTGGGAGTGTAGCGGGTGAGAACGGCTCGTCTTGCAACTCTAAAGAGGGATGCTTTGGTGAAAAAGCTACTTGATTCTATGCCCAAGTCGTATCTCGAACTCGTGGCTTCAATTGAGCAATGCTTTGAGTTAGATGTAATGTTATTTGAAGAGGCTGTTGGAAGATTGAGGGCGTATGAGGCACGCACAAAAGGCTTTGAGAAGATGGAAGACAGTCAAGGTGGTTTGTTGTTGGCAAGTGAAGAAAAGTTTCACGGTTGTAAACATTGTGGCAACAGAGGTTCAAGTCGGGGTGACTTTGGACGTGGCCGGTGAGGTCGTGGGTGCGGGAGGAGTCAAGACGGTAATAAGCATGTCCGGGACAAAAGCCACGTTACATGTTACAAGTGTGGGGAACTTGGGACTATATCAATGAGTGTCATAAGTGGGGAAAACAAGAAGCATATTTGATGGAAGAGGAACCGACACTACTGTGAGCGGGTAGTATTGACTGTCCGATTAAGGGGGTGATTATTAGGTTTTAATCGGTCATGGGACACGTATGCATGGCTGGAGTTTTAAATTTGTTTTAAGTTTTAATTAATTTAATTAGTTCAAATTGGTATTAGTGGAGTAGTGGCAATTTCATGTTCTTAGTAGGAAGTTGAGAAGTGGAGTAGTGGACTAGCTTAGTTAACTACCTAGTGGTCTCCTATTTATACTTGCATTTGTTCTTTGCATTAGTTCCCATCAATGAAATAGAGTTGTTGCTTCTTTTATATATACCATGTATTAAAACAATCATTTGTCTTTTGCACATAAATGAACTCTTCCTTTGAATGCCATAGGAGCATTATTTCTTCTATCTTCATTTTTTAGTTTGGTTAAAATCCTGAACAATTTGATAACATTTGGTATCAGAGCCCAAAGATCCGTTTGAATAATTTTTTGAGTCGTTCTTGATCGTTGGTTGAAGCATCTCAACGGCAGCCCCGATTTTCACTTGATCGGGCTTGTTCCAGCGTTGTTGAGAATATAACCGGGTGCGGAATAAGCGTACATAATGACTTCATAGCAGGTTGCTGTGATTCGGTTCGCTTTGCGGGTGACGAAAAACGTTAACAGTGGTAGTGACCTCGTTTACTTGACCGGTAGAAATTTCTCTCGGAACAAGCTTGATCAACAAAATTTGGGGCTATCCAAACGATGAATAGAATGGCGTTGGTACCAAGAGAAGGGGGTTCGATGACATTTCAAGTTTCGGCCTTGACCCGGAGGAATTATCTGGTGTGGGCTGTTAAGGTGAGGACGATCATGCATGCATATGACTTATGGGAGACGGTCGAACCAAGGGCGCTAGGTGAACAAATGGATCCAAGGAATTCAAAGCAAGCTCTTGCTTTCTGGTTTCAAACGATACCCGAAGACATGGTGTTGCAAATGGCGAGTTATACCGACCCAAAGCAAGTATGAGATGGCCTAAAACGCATTTTTTGGGAGTGTAGCGGGTGAGAACGGCTCGTCTTGCAACTCTAAAGAGGGGCTCAAAGGATTGCGTATGAAGGAAGGTGAGACCATTGATGACTTCTCCGAAAATTGATCGGTTTAGCTTCAACGGCAAGGACCCTCGGATACGAGATTGAGGAAGCGAATTTGGTGAAAAAGCTACTTGATTCTATGCCCATTTCTTATCTCCAACTCGTGGCTTTAATTGAGCAATGCTTTGAGCTAGATGTAATGCTATTTGAAGAGGCTGTTGGAAGATTGAGGGCGTATGAGGAACGCACCAAAGGCTTTGAGAAGATGGAAGACAGTCAAGGTGGTTTGTTGTTGGCAAGTGAAGAAAAGTTTCACGGTTGTAAACATTGTGGCAACAGAGGTTCAAGTCGGGTTAACTTTGGTCGTGGCCGGGGAAGATGATAGTATAAAATTGTTATTGTTTATGTTTGTAATTTTAACTAGTTTTATTTGTTGTTGTTTGGGAAATTACACATTTTTGGTGTAATACTTTATTTTTCCTAGTTACTTGTAATTCGTATAGATTAAGGATTTTCTGAGCTTAAACTAGGTAAAGATTATCAAAAGG